ATGTTGGACAAGGTGGGGAGTGAGCAAAGGGTGAGATCTGACTTCGAACCACTGTGGTATAATGCCTCTAATGCCTCCTACCTTAATAGAAACTGACACCTATCAAGTACCCGGCGTATTTCCAATATGAAAGCATGTTCTCTGTTTCTCATATTAACTCTGAAGGTATTACTATCCCCATTTCAGTTAAAGGAACTGAAACTCAAAGTGGTACAATAAAATGTTGCAGGCGAGCAATTTGCAAGTAGAGGCTGGATTCAAACCCAATATATTTAGAGGTCAATGTTCTTTCCATTGCTAACTGCTCCTTCTATTGGTTTGGAAACATAAAAATAACAATGTAAAATTTGGATTGCTTATTCGATCATGCTGGTGGGAACTTTAAGGTCTAGGGAAAAAAATGTGAGAGAGAAAAACAACAACATTTTAATGGCATCTCTAGCTGGGAGCCGTGCATGTAGGTTTTACAGCACGAAGGAAACTCAATCTAACACTTAGCTATGAGCTTGTACTATGTGTCAAGCTTTGCTACGACCAAAAGAAATAGCACTGTGCAAGATAACAACCATGGGCAGCTGCGTGGTGCAAAGGGTTAAGCACTCAACTACTAGCTGAAAGCTCGGTGGTTCTAATCCAATCAGAGGCACGCTGGAAGCCAGGCCTGGAGACCTGCTTCTGAAAGGTGTGCCTTGAAAAGCCTATGGGGCAGTTCTGCTCTGCACACGTGGGGTCGCCATGAGCAGGAACTGAGGGAGCAGTGGGTTGAAGGCAACCAACAAGAAGGGAACTACCAGGCGAAATGGGAATAAGAAGAATGCCTACCTCCTAGGGCTTTATAAAATCCTTAGACCAAAGTGCTAGCACATAGTAAGCACTCAAAAACGTTTTCTCTCTTTGTACAGCTGTTGGGAAATAATGATAAAGAAAGAAATGGCCCAGCTTCAGGAGAAAACAAAATACTGACAAACTTGCAGCAACAAATGCAAATACACTATATAAAGTGGCTATCAAGATGGTCTACACAAAAGGAACCAATAGGTCTGCTGAAGAACGTGAGGTGTCATTAGCAAGGCGGCAGAGTTAAGGTGACACAGGCACAAAGAAAGCAAAAGGTTAAAAAAGTGCATTGATGCTTCGTAGCAGCTAAGTCAGAACTGAGGAAAGAATGGGGTGCTGGCCTGGAAGGCGGGCAGAGGACTTCTCCCCCGATTCACACCGTTTGCCAGCACCACTCGTGACAGAGCCTGACAGGGGGGCACAGTGAGGAGCTTCCACCTGCTTCTCTTTGTCTGCACTCGGGTGGGTCTCCCCGAGAAACCTTCCAATGGCGTCCCCCTCCTCTCTTCACCCCACTCTGCACTAAGTTGTTAGAACGAAGCCCTCCAACCAAACACAAGCCTCGTGCCGTGACTTAGAGACCCTTTCGGGACAGTCCGCGCCACGGGGTAACGCCTCAGTTGCTCGGCGGCACACACAGCAACTCCACAATCACGCTACGTTACCACCCATCTCTGCTCCCCTTCCCCAGGGGCCACCGCCCACGGCATTCATTCACCACACGAGGGGCCGCCTCTACTGCCACATCTTAGGAGCTGAGCCCCGACTCGTCAGCCGACCCCGTCTGCTAACTGCCCATTTATCTGTCCCACCAGCTTCTGGGCTGAGCCGGGAGCTCGCCATCACCTTCCCTTCACCCACTTCCCGAAGGCTGCAGCCGTGAAACCCGGCAGCGGCGCGGTCCCCCAAACTCCCCCCACCCCGGCCCGACAGCCCCGCGCTCCAGCCCGACTTCCCGTCTCTCAGGGCGCGTTTCCTCGGGGTGGACCCGCAGTGATCAGCCCGTCTAGGTGCGGAGAGGAGAGCGGACCCAGTACTGCCTCCCTAGTCACCGAGCTCAACTCTGTCCCCCAAAACTCAAGGCCCAGGTGGGGCTAGAGGCCTAAAAGGGTCAGTCCGCGGCCCTGAGCCGCGGCGCCGAGGGCCGGCGTGCCTCTTACCACAAACACAGCCTCAGGAATCCCCAGATGGAGTCGCCGCCTGTTCCCTGTGACCACTTCACCACGACCATCCTTAGCGGCCGCCATCTTGGTGAAGTGAGTGTGCTGAGACGCGCTGCTGCCTCCCAAGCCGCTGTCCCGCCAGATAGCACTGATTGGTTTGCCCGCCCCTGAAGGCCCGCCCCATCCCTGTGAGTCTGCGCAATCATTGGCACGCGGGAAGAAGCTGCTCTTCTCCGATTCGCCCAACCTCGGAGCGCTGATTGGCTGCCCGCAGAGTGACAAGCATGAAAGCGTCAACCGAACGGAAGATTAGGGCTGCGGGAAGAACCAATAGGAACGTAGGGAAAAGGTGTCTCGGGTATTTTGTAGGTGGGTAGAGCTAGAGGGCCCTGAAAATTGGGAACCAACCTGGATCCCCCCAGCCCACCCCAGAATACACAGCCCCCTCTAAAATGGCCTCACTAGCGACCTGTCTCCTCTCGGATATGATCCAACTTGGGACTTAGACTCCGACTGGGGGGATTGACTTACTGCTCCTTCCAGGGCACTTGCTGTGTGTCTCTCAAGGAGTGCAGCCCCTGGCCTGGTTCTAGTCAGTACTCCTCCCATCACGCCTACCTTTCCTGAAAAGCACCCTTGACTAGAATCTCATCACTGCAGCGCAAATGTTTTCAAACTTCACAATCCGCATATTAAATCATGAGAATTCTACCTACACTTTCAGGCCCACAGACTCCCCCCTATAATCCTTCTCCACTTTGAAAGCAAGGAATTATTCTTCGGTCTCTTTGCTGACATCTAACCACCAAGCTTGTTCCTGCCTTGGCTTTCACGGCAGTCCTTCCCAAGAAGCCCTTCACAAAGCCTACCACAAGCCTGACGTGTTATGAATAAAGGATAAATGCTAGTTATCTTCCTTAGTGGGGACACATATATGCAATAATAATGGTCAACATTTATTAAAAACTATGTATAATTTCCCATCAGCCACTCCTCAGAAGGAAGATGGGGCAGTCTACTTCTGTAGTGATACTGCCTCGGAAACCCAAGGATGGGTTGCTATGAGTCGGGTCCGACTCGATGGCACATTACAACAACAACAACAACATGTATAAGTTAGCAAAAAGACAACCCGATTTTAAAAAAATGGGCAAAGGATTTGAGCAGACATTTCATCAAAGAGCATATCCAAATGTCTAGCAACCACATGAAAAGATACTTACTTAATGTCATTAGACCTGGTTGTGGTTGTTATTAGTGGAGTCAGTGCCAATTCATAGCAACCCAGTGTACAACAGAACAAAACACTGCCTGGTCCTGGGCCACCTTCACTGTAGTTGCTGTGCTTGAGCCTGTCGTTACAGCCACTGTGCCAGTCCATTCTCATTATTGAGAGTCTTCCTCTTTTTCCCTAACCCACTACTTTTCCAAGCATGACATCCTTCTCCGGGGACTGGTCCTTCCTGATAACTTGTCCAAAGTACATGAGACTAAGCCTCACCATCTTTGCTCCTAAGGAGCATTCTGGCTGTTACTTCCTCCAAGACAAATTTGTTCATGGCACATTGAGTATTCTTCACCAACGCCACAGTTCAAATGTAAAGAAAACAAATCCTCACAACTGGGCCATAAGCAACATCATCATAAATGGAGAAAAGATTGACGTCAAGGAATTCATTTTAGTTGTGTAAAAATGGCATGGTGGCAGCCAGCGTTTGACCTCCTGTAACTTCATGAAGGGGGAGAATCACCATCAGCAGCATCACCCCAAGGCTGATTTCTAGGAGGCAGGGGTCAGACATGCCTCCTCTCTCCAACCTTTTTACCAATTCAGACACCAGCCATCCTTCCCACGGCACTCTCTACTTCTCTTCTGAGTTTGATAGTTCATTGCAATGGCCACTCGGAACTCACCGACCATACTTATAGGGCTGCGGTTTATTAGGGAAGTAACAGGTACAGTTTAGGTTCAGGAACACTCGGGATCTAGGTCTTCGATCAGGACAGCCTCCTATCAGCCATACAGGAAGGCAGGTCTTTCTCTGGCTCTCAGCCCCTTGGCCCGGCCTCTGCCCTGATCGG